AGGAAGGAAGGAAGGAAGGAAGGAAGGAAGGAAGGACTGAAGGACTGAAACAGGGGTGTTATCTAAATTAGAAAAGACCCAGTTCCTAAGCAGGGAAGAAGTGGGATAACCCAAGTGGCAGAAGGTGAGGCTTGGAGACCATCATGCTTAGAGATGGCTCCCCAAAACAAGGGAAGTTGCCCCTCCTCTTCCTCATGTCTCCAGGCAGGGCAAACATCCCACCTTGCGTTTCATTCCTGGGGTATTGACAGGGGTCTTTGCTGCTGTGCCTTCACCCTTCTAAGCATGTTGCTCATCCAGGCTGAGGGAAGAGATGCCCTGTCTTAGAAAAGATTAGTTTCATGAACCTGATAGAATCAGTTAGACAATACCACTGAGGTCAATATCGTAACTCCCAAAATTGTATTTCAAATTCCTAAGTGCCTTAAAAAGAAAGAGAGAGAGAATAGGAAATGTTTAGGCTTCAGACCTCTGTGTAATTAAAAAACAACAGCAAAATCTTTAGGTACATCAGAGTGAGAAATGTCAGATTTCTTATACTGCAATTTTTTGTGTGTGAGAAAGATAAAATATGACTTGAATTGCTGATGTAGATGTCTTGACTTTTCATGGAAGAAAGAGGCCTAAAATCATTTTGTTTACAGGTAGTCCTTGCTTAACGATGGTAATTGGGACAGCAATTTCTCTTGCTAGGTGATGTGGTTATAAAGTGCAATGGCAATCCCAGCAATCCCCATTGCTGTTGTTAAGTGAGAATTGTGGGTTGTTAAGCAAAGACCTCTTCACAACTTCCTGGCAAATTCCCACAACCAAAGTTAGTGGGGAAGCTGGGAGGAAGTTGCAAGTCCCAGACAGCTCACAAGCAGGTAGGTAGATAAGTGGCATGTGCGTGATTTTGGACCTGGGAGGTAGCTGCTGCTGGGTGAGGGAGACTTATCTGAGCAACTTGTGACCTTCCTTGCCAGTCCCCATTGACTTAGCTTGTGGGAAGCCAACAGGTTGCAAATGGCGATCATGTGATTGCAGGGAGCTGCAACCGTCATAAGTGCAAGCTGGTTGCCATGCACCCAAATTGCGAACATGTGACTGCGGGGGTGATGCAATGGCTGGAACTTCAAGGACCGTTCATAAGTACCATTTGTTCAGCACCATTGCAATTTCAAATGGTCACTGAACAAGTGGTTGGTAAACAAGGACTACCTATAATTAGTTACTTTATCTCTCTACTTGCCATTCAGAATAAATAATGTAGATAACTGAGATTACAGCACTATCTAGTTTGAGTTGTGGTCTACATGGGCAGTATGAAAAGAGCTACAGAGCTCTGGGTTGCTATAGTTCAAGCCAAAGAGTAACACTGCAAAGGAAAACAGACTGATGTGAACAAAATGAAAATTCAGTTAAACTGGATTGCTTGTGCTTATAGACCAAAACTATGCAAATGTCATCTTCAGTATAAATAGCATGGAGAAAAGTTGAAGATTTGTTCCCATATGTATGCATATGTGTGCGTGTCTCTATTGAACAGCTAACGTATGTAAGGCAAAATCACTTCTTGCACTGTATATTATCTGTAACATGTAACACAATGGCCCATTTCAAACATGTCCCCAGTTTTTTGAGCAGTGTTTCAATCGAGTGCACATGAGTAATAAGTGGAAAATGCTTCCTTCTTCCTTCATGTGCATGACTTCAGAGCATTAAATTTCACAAGCCTGTTTTCTTTGACCTTCAAACTCCCTACAAACAAAATTAAACCAGAAATAAGCCATGGGCTGCAATTCTGATATACCTTATTAGTTCATAAGTAATGGATAACTATATTTTAGCAAACCAAAAAGTTTTCTCTGAAGTTTAGTGGGTAAGTGAAAGAGAGGAAGAAGTGTTAGTATTTTTGTTTGTTTTTAATCTTCCATCTAAAAAGATAAGTTCTTTACCCCATAGATGAACTTCCAGAATTGGGTACCACTACTGATAATTAGTTCAGTAATTAGCTATGTTTGTGGGGTTAATGTTAGGTAGGTTCATATTTGTGATGGTTCTCATTAAGGTGTAGAGTAATATGCTCCGAATGGTGAAGACCAAACTAGCCTGCAGAGTTTTAACAGAATGTAAGTCACTTTCAGTCAAAATTTATGGTCATTTTTTTCTTCTTCTAAGGAATGGGCATAGATGGCCTACAAGTTAAAATAAGCAAAAGCATATTCTGCTTACATTTGTCATTTGGGTATCTGGGTTTAAAGCCAAGTCCAGAAGCAGTCCTAAACTGAACTTCAAGCAAGGAATCACCTCTTGTATAGGTTGAATTCTGATTCCCAGGTTAACTGCTTTAAATATCATTATCAGATTATATTTCAGATGGTTAATTCTCACACAGCCAATTGTGTACCTCCTTGAAACATGATGGAAATGAAAGATAGAAATGCTCATCTGTTGCATACTGGTCACACCGCACTCCAAAAGCCCAACAGCCAAGGAGTTGAACAGTCATCATAACTTAAAATAGCTTCTCTGTGAAGAACCAGAACCCCTATAAAATTGTGACTTTAAGCTTCATTTCAGGCAGACATTCTGTGCTCAGTTGCACACACATGCACACACGCACACACACACAAACAAACATCCAGTGGAACCATTAAGGATGTCGTCTGTCCAATTTCTACTTTAGATTACAGTCCAGGGTCTGTTCATCCCATAAATCTGTAACTGTGTTAC